ATTTGTGTACCAAGGCGATGGACACACTCGAAAGAGTGAACAGTCTGCTAGTCAGTGTGGATAATCAAATTAAGAAAACAAATCAAGATAAGCCTGTGTAATGGTTAAATTTGTACGAAAAGACTGCAAGAGAGATTATTTAAGATGAAATTTTTTGCATGTTTTGTTGAGCTTATATTTGTAGTTTGGCTGGGTAGGTAATAAAAAAAAGGAATAAATTTTCTACTGCTTGACAGCGAATTTTTGTCGTTATAGTCTTTTTTAAAACTTTAGCTGGTTCACCGAAGCGTGTAGCCACGTGAGCCCATCATCAGCATGCTATTTTACTCACCATCTCATTTGCATGCTAAACATTGCTTATGTGATATCGCTCTACTGGCTTGATGTAAAGTCTGATGCAACCAGACTAATTTAGTGTTCGTAAAGACCACTCTTTGGTAAGACTATCTGTCCCATGTAGAAACGAGAAACGAAGGCTCAAACATCTTCCAAGGCGCTTATTTAAGTACACAAATCGAGCTTTTTCTTTCGAGGAAATAATGGCTTGATGCAAAATCCGATGCAACTACACTAAGTTAGTGCTCGTAAAGACCACTATTATCATTTTGGTAAGCTGCCTTTCCAATGTGTGTAGAAAAGACATCGAAAGGATCATAAAACTCCATCATAAACGCAAAAGGAAGGCTCACACATCTCCCAAGATGTGACTTGAGTACGAAACAACAAACATTAGAATTCATTGTGAAGACCGTCTCAGACCGGATGCAATTGTGACTTGTGAAAAAAACTGGTCAAAGCTACTTTACTTTAAATAAAAAAGAAAGCAAGTAAGTAACCAAGTTAGGATGCAGGCAAGCAGCGAAGAAGAAACACAGAGCTAGCAAGCAACCAAGCAAGTCAATAACGGTATTTGTCAGTGTGTTTTTTATAGGGTAAAACAAGTGTAATAGTCTAGACTATCCCTCACGATAATAAGATGATATTCTTGAAAGATGGCGCCGAAGCAGCTCGATTAATGATGGTAATAGAACTGATTGGAGTACAATTTGGTCTTAGGTCTTTGGGTTTTAGATGTATGTGTGATTGTTTCAGTTATTCTAATTGAATTGACATATGTTTGTTTCTAAATGGATACTAAATAGCGTTCACTTATCTTTAAAAATAAACGTCCTTTCAAACCAACGGCCTTTCGAGAAAGTGAGATGCAAACAACTTTAGATAAACATTGAACAAGAAGCCACAAGATGTGCCGTTTCAACAGATTTTTTTTGACTGTTTTTCTTTAAAATATTACCAACTTACTCCTAGCAGTTTCTTTAGAAATATGCTTCCGGCAATTTCAGTTCAGCTGGTCTTTTTGAACAAATGTTACGCGGCTTTTTATGCTAAAAATGGCTCCAAAAATCTTTAAGAACTTTTTTCCTAAGGCGTC